TTAAGACTACGAGGCGGTACCTCGGGAGTTCTCCATATATATTTACTTTTGAGACTACGAGGCGGTACCTCGGGTGTTCTTCCTGTATATTTACTTTTGAGACTACGAGGCAATACCTCGGGAGTTCTCCCTGTATATTTACTTTTGAGACTACGAGGCGGTACCTCGGGAGTTCTCCCTGCATATTTATTTTGGGACTACGAGACGGTATCTCGGGAGATCCCCTGCTGTTTACCCCTGTGTTTTGTATTGTTGCTTTACTGTGTTTCTTTTTGTTAAATTCTAGTCCCTTATTATACTGTATATTCTCCTGCCTTATTTATTATTTACTAGTGAGCCTGACCTGACCTCGTCACTACTCGATCGAGGTTAGACTTGGCACTTAATCGGTACCATTGTGGTGTACTTATGCTACTCTTCTGCACATATTTTTGTGTGCCGATCCAGGTGCTTCTTATCAGACCCGCTACTAGCTGTGAGTGCTTGTTGTTGTACGGAGACTTCAAGGTACATCTACCGCGTCCGCAGACCTTGGAGCCCCCTTTTTTTCTCTCTTATGCCATTTACCTTCCATACTTTTTTGTTAGACTCTGGTGTATAGGGATACTAGTTTCCTTCTGTAGCTTGTGACTTATGATGTTCTGGATTTTGGGAATACTATGTATTACTGGAGTATTGATTATTGTAAATACCGAACGGCATTGTTACCAGTTATTTGGTTATCTGTTGTAGATAGTTGTTAAGTTTTAATTTGCTTTGTTATTTTCGTATTTGTTTAGGCTTACCTAGTCTTAGAGACTAGATGTCATCACGACGTCTTACGGAGGGAGTTTTGGGTCGTGACATTTTTAAGTTTTGATCACCTTAAACTCAAAAAGATTAAGTTTTAAATAATAAGGAAAACATTCTAAAAATGAGCTTTTATTTTACCTTTTTAATAGTTTTAATCTTCGTAAATTGTGACCATAAATCCTAAGGCTTAATGAATAAAAATAGGAGGTATTTAGAGAACAAAAACATGTTTTAAAATATTTTAGTTTTACTTGTCTTTTATGTTAAATGGTCATTATTTTATGTGTATTTGGATCTAACATGTTTTTCTATATCAAACAAATTGTCTTTTACATTCTTGTTCTACATTAGATTTATTAACTCCTTTTAACATTTTTTTTGTTTGATCACATTATTACATAAAGTTGTCTTCTTAGTAATTGAAGTAACCAAATAAAAATAAAAAAAAAGGTAACCAAATCAAGTGAAACATATATGGTAGAAGTGACATTCAAAAAGGCTGCAAATGATACGTGTAAACTAACAAATTCAAGCGAGCCCACGCATTCAGAGATGAAACAAAAGGCATCAATAAAAGCAGACATAACTCTGTCTAAACAAAATAGTAAATAAAAATTATTATGAAGGAGCTATCATATTTTAGCCAATCAGATTATCTCACTATAATAGAGCAGCGGATGACAAAAGTACTATTTAGGTGATGGATGATGATGTAAGAGAAGGGTTAATTTATTCAAATAAACTACAGCAAGATTCCTTTTAGACTAATCATATTACTCTGCTTTAAGTGAAATGATCAAATTACCCTTTGATTTCTAAGCAGGCATGTTGACCATAGATTATACATATTACAAAAAAATTGACTTTTTTTAGTTTAACTGGTTGACTTAGTTACTATGTAGGTTAATTCTTACTTTAAATATTAGAATATAAATATATTTATTTTTGTTATAAAAGACATTTTCTAACTTGTGTGATTACACTTAGTTTGTTGTTGTTATTGTAAAAGAAATTGGTGTTAAAGTCTTTCTTCGAAGAAATCCAAAGAAAAAAAAAGTATCATTATCGTTGTGTGCTAATTAGCATGATTAATCTTATGCTCAACTTATACGTATTGCTAATACAAATTTTTACTTACAATGTCAAGTTACTTAAAACGTAAAACAATTACAGATGGTTTCTCATTTAAGAGTCCAAACGAAATTTTAAGTCAACTACGCAAATTCTTTGGCAGAAAATTTAATTAAAATTACTTATAATTACAAAAAATGTTTCTAAGAAAATACAGTTTTCTACCTTTTTAAATATAAGGGAACATCAAGATGAAATCTATGTATTTCTGTTTATTTTCGTTTTAAAAATTTTAAACTTGTATGAAAAATTGGAAACATTATGTCATGTTTTTACTATTTTGAAAGTTTAAGAAAGTCCATGCACAAAATAGTATTGAAAAATAAAAAGTTTATTGTGGGCCCACGTTTAGAGGGGTGAAATTTAAGAAGGAAATTGTACCTCCTATAGCAAAGGTATACACCATATTTATTATAAACCAAAATTATGTTAAAATATTATTTTCTATAGCTATCTTTTTTATTTTATAGCAAAATAAATATTTATGGTATATGCTACCATTGAGGCATGAAATAAGGCATGAAATACGCTATTTATATTTTTTCTCTCTCTTATACAACTGGACATACATATTTTTAAGGTGATTGTTGTTACTGTATTCATGAATACATAGCGCGAATACATGTGAATACATGCGCATACAACTAGACTGCCCTGATTTTAGGCGCTTTTTACTGTTGTATTCATGAATACAGCAGCGCGAATACATGTGAATACAGCTGGACTACCAGATTTTAGCCGTTTTTTGCTGTTGTATTCATGAATACAGTAGCGCGAATACATGTGAATACATGCGCATACAACTAGACTGCCCTGATTTTAGGCGCTTTTTACTGTTGTATTCATGAATACAGCAGCGCGAATACATGTGAATACAGCTGGACTACCAGATTTTAGCCGTTTTTTGCTGTTGTATTCATGAATACATGGCGTTAATACATGTGAATACATGCGCGTATAGTTGGACTGCCCTAATTTTAGGCGCTTTTTGCTGTTGTATTCATGAATACAGTAGCGCGAATACATGTGAATACATGCGCGTATAACTGGACTGCCCTGATTTTAGGCGCTTTTTGCTGCTGTATTCATGAATACATAGCGTGAATACATGCGCGTACAGCTGGACTACCCTGATTTTTAGGCCTTTTTTGCTGTTGTATTCATGAATACAGCAACGCTAATACAGCGAATACACTAACGTAACAACTGAATAGTAGCTATAGGAAGTAATCATGTATATGGTAGCTATAGGAAGTTAATAGGTGTCACGACCCAATTTCACCTATAGGTCGTGATGGCGCCCAACACTACAGCTAGGCAAACCAACTTAATAAATTAAGCATACATTGACAAAATTTAAAACCAAAAAAATAATAAAACACCAAATTCTACCAATGTGTGTGCCAAGACCTGGTGTCACAAGTGTATGAGCATCTAGTAGATTATACAAAACCTCAAATATTGTCTGAAATAAAAATAGACAGAATGAAAAAAAAAATACAAGTAGAGACACTATTAGGTGCAAAACGGATCAGAAAGGCAGCTCACCACTATGCCCCTAGATAGCGTGGGTGTAAGACGATAGGTCCCCACTAGTACTTGCCTCAGTTCCTGCACAAAAAGTGCAGCAAGTGTAGTATGAGTACGTAAACAACGTGTACCCAGTAAGTATCAAGCCTAATCTCGAAGTGGTAGAGACGAGATGGCCGACTTTGACACTCACTGTGGGTCAATAATAATAATTGAAATACAACTAGGATATTTAAATCAACATGATTTACAGAATTTAAAACAGTTTATTTAATCAACGGAAATAATCAAATTCCTTCAAATGCAACAATTCTCAATATATTAATGAAAGTCCTCCAATTCAAATAAATTTTCAATTTATCAATTAAATATCATTTACAAGAATAACAATTAATTCTTTAACAAGCAAGAATAATAATTCATTAAATTCTAAGGATTTTCTAATTTATCAATTAGCTTCGCAAACTTAAATAAACTATTAAAGTATCGTGTAATTATTATTATTAAGTATGATTTCTACCGAGGACATACGGCCCGATCCATAGTATCGTGTACACTGTCGAGGGACGTGCGGAGCGATCCATAGATGCATCTATCCTGCCGAGGCGTTCGGCCCGCTCCATAAGAAAGGAGGATATTTTCTTATGTACCTCCGGAAGGAGAGTATATTTATTATAAGATAAATTCGGGAGAAAGAATAATTTCTTTTAATAATTAATTAATTTAAACAGAAAATCAAACATATGAGATTTCCATCTTTTAATATATTTATCTAACAATTAGAATATATTCATATATATCAATTAATATTAATTAAATAAAAAATACAATTTACACAAGTAGTTCATGCTTTGAGTCCTAAACTACCCGGACTTTAGCATTAATAGTAGCTACGCACGGACTCTCGCACCTCGTGCGTACGTAGCCCCCACAATTAGCAACAATATTTAATTTAATCCATATGGAGTAATTTTCCCCTCACAAGATTAGACAAGAGACTTACCTCGTCTCAAAGTCTACTTTCCGATTATCGCATCGCGTAAAATTCTCGATTTAATGCCGAAAAATCCGAAACTATCCAAAAGTTATATAAAATAATTAATATATGTTCAATAATTCGAAATTCATCTATTAAATGAATTACCTTATCCAAAAATGGTAAAATTCCTAAAATTCATCTCGGGTCCACGTGCCCGGATTCTGAAAATTTTTAGATGGAAACGTTACTCATAATCTCAAGAACGCAAATATATAATTTCTACCCAATTCCATAACTATTTTCGAGGGTAAAATTTTATTTTTATAAAAATCTAAGTTTTTCGCCTAAACCCTTGATTTCTAAGATTTACTAGTTATAATCTACCTATAATCTATATATTTAACTCAAGGAGTGTGGAATTAACTTACCTTTCAATTGCTAATAGAAATCCCCTCTCAAAAAGTTCCAAAATTGCCCAAGAATGGAAGAAAATGGGCTCATAAATGTCTGAGCCCCGATTTTTAACAAATGCTGCCCAACAGTCATTTTCGCACCTGCGAAAGACTACCGCACATGTGGCTTTCGCACCTGCGGAAATTCCTCGCAGGTGCGAGCTTAGCTTGACTGCCCAGTTTCTGCATCTGCGCTATTTTTCTCGCACCTACGCGTTCGCAGGTGCGCCCGAGATTCCGCACCTGCGATGGCAGGCTTCTCTTCCCTTTTCGCTTCTGCGCATAAAACCTCGCATCTGCGAGAGTCGCACATGCGGCTGTCCAAGCGCAGGTGCGAACGTATCAGAAGCAAAAGACTTCAGCTCTTCTTCAAGTTTTTTTCTCCAAAAAATTGATCCGAGCCTCGTCCGATTAATACTCGGGGCCCCCGGGGGCCCTCCCGAACATACCAACAAGTTTGAAATCATAAACCCAACTACAAAGTCCATAGTGATGCGTTCCCATTTCTATTCCGGTATAGTCATCTGCTGAAGTAGGCCACCTGTCCTCTAGTGCTCATATTTAACTTGCTGACAATTTAGACACCTAGCTACATACTAAACTATGTCCTTTTTCATTCGTCGCCACCAATAATGCTGCCTCAAGTCACGATACATCTTCGTAGCACCTGGATGAATAGAATACCGAGAACTGTGTGCCTCCTCCAGGATCTTTTTCCTCAGTTCATCCACATTAGGAACACACAGACGATCCTGGAGTCGCAAAACACCATCCGCACCAATAGTAACTTCCTTGGCACCACCTCATAGTACCGTTTCTCGAAGAACCATTAAGTGTGGGTCATCATACTGGCGAGCCTTGATCTGCTCAAATAGCGAAGACTGAGCTACGACACATGCAAGAACTCGGCTGGGCTCTGAAATATCTAGCCGCACAAGTCTGTTGGCCAAGGACTGGATATCCAAAGCTAATGGCCTCTCTTCTGCTGAAATGAAAGCCAAACTACCCATACTTTCTGCCTTTCTACTCAAGGCATCTGCAACTATATTTGCTTTACCTGGATGATATATGATAGTAATATCATAATAGTTTAGTAATTCCAGCCATCAGCGCTGCCTCAAATTTAGGTCCCTCTACTTGAACAAATGCTGCAAACTGTGATGATCAGTATAAACTTCACAGGACACCCCATAAAGATAATGCCTTCAAATTTTAAGGGTGTGAACAATCGTAGCTAACTCCAAATCATGTACCGGATAATTCTGCTCGTGGAACTTCAACTGACGTGAAGTATATACAATAACTCGCCCTTCCTGCATTAATACACAACCCAAACCAACACGTGAAGCGTCACAATACACTGTATACATCCCCGAACCGGAAGGTAACACTAACACTGGTGTTGTAGTCAATGCTGTCTTGAGCTTCTGAAAGCTTGACTCACAATCATCGGACCATCGGAACTGAACACTCTTCTGGGTTAATTTGGTCAAAGGTGCTGCAATAGATGAAAAACCTTCCACAAACCGACGATAATAACCTGCTAAACCCAGAAAACTCCTGATCTCAGTCGCCGAAGTGGG